CAACACTAGAGGGTTCAGGGGAGGGATGCTTTATTATCTCGGGCACGGGCTCACCTTTCGCTTTTTCACGTTCCTTGGCCGAAGGCTAAGCGTTGAAGAAACGACATAAACATGAACGTTCAGAGCTCAACGCGGATGTCTTGGATCTGGGCTGAATTCCCCTCCCCGGAGCGAGGCGCCGCCAGGGGGGGCCTACATCCGCACGGACCTCCAAAACTGTATATCATGCATTTTCTTTTGAAACCAGCGACGCCAAGATCTCAAAGGGCGTCCGCCGAGCCTCCCCCGTGCGCGCGCCCCACCGGCTGGGTCAGACGAGGTCAGGACGAGAAGACCAGACGAGGACCAATCGAGCATCCCTGAGATCTGGCGGCTGTGGAAGATGCCTCGGGCGCCGCGGCCTCTTCAGAGCGCCCCGGAACGCTCTCAGAGCGTGCCGCAGCGCTCTGGAGCGGATCTGTATCCTCGTCCCAGCCCCGTCCGAGCCTCCCCCGCGCGCGCGCCCCCCCCGGCCAGGGCGCCTGCGCAAATCCGGATCTCCTTCATCTCGCTCGGGTGCGGCAGCGTCCGGATGACGCAGCCGCGCTCCCTGAGCTCATCCTCGGCCGTGCGCTCGCGGGCGCGGGGGAGGAAGGACCCAGAGCCCCTCGAGGCTGGACAACAATCGCGTCGGGAGATTTCTCGACGCCAATGGCACGATAGGAAGATTGAGGGCTTGGAAGATGATGAGGAGGAGGAGGCCGAGGAGGAGGACGAGGAGGACGAGGAGGAGGGAAAGGAGGACGAGGAGGAAGAGGAGGAGGAGGAAGACGTGTTGCCCGAGGTTCTTCACTGGGACACTGCAGCAGGGAATCTCCATTCTTTGCCTGAAGAGCCCTTACGGGGCCTCGCGACCGTCGACAAGACTGCTCCAGATGACAAGCAGGTCCGGGGGAACCCCAAATTCGGCCCTGTCAAACCCTCTGGGAGGTTCTCGAGGAGAGGGGTGGCGCGGATCTGCTGGGGGATGCCCACCCTGGCTAGAACATGATTGCCATCGCATGCTCTGACCATTCATGGGCTCGCCCTGTGCCCCATGCTCCGTCTGCTCTTCCCGCCTTTGCACGGCTGGCCCGCCGCCGTGTGAGGGTTCGGCGGCAACTCATGGGAGCCTCCCATGGCATCTTGTCGGCTCTTGCGAATCGACACTGATCGATGCTAAATCGACGCTAATCGACGCCAACTCGACGCAAACTGACGCTCACCGACGCCAAATTCGGCGCTACCTCATCGACTCCCAGGCGCTAACCGATGCGAGTCGACGCTAAAGACGTAATCAGGAGGGTATCTCATGCTCACGTGATTTGCTACCGAACGAGAGGCCTGTCCGGGACCAGCGTGGCGGCGTCTAGGGCTTCAGCCGACAGATGGTGACACTGGTGATCGTACCACTTGTTTGAAACTTGTGTCAAAAACAACTGGGCGACTTCGCGACTTACGCACAGACGAGACTCCCGCCTCGCACCTCCCCCAAAACGCGGAGGACGAGCAGACGGCGCAAACATCAGCGTCCGGAGGTCCGCGCCGATTCTGCTGGATCTGCGCCAGGGGCGGCCCCAGAGGTGACGAACGATCAAAACACGCACCCATACCCATGCGGGGGACGGAATGAGCTATGCGCGCGTGTCCTCGGAAGGGTGCCCTTCGCTCGAGCGGGAGCCTCCCCCAGGGGTCCGACAACCCACACCCATACCCATAGCGAGTCCCTCTCCCTCCGACCTCCCTATGATTTGGACACCCGACATGGGTACCGAAAGAATGGGTGCAATGCCCAACAACAAACGCTGTCCCAAACCAGCAGCGGCCGCTGTTGGACAGGCGGCCCTCTGTCTCGAGTGGACACAGGCCGCGGCGGCGCGGGCAGCGAGCCCTGTTCAAAGTGAACAGGAACTGCTGTTGGGCATTGCACCCATTCTTTCCGTGCCCGTGTCGGGCGTCCAGACGCTCGAACGGGAGCCTCCCCAGGGGTCCGACTACCTACCAGACAACCCCAACCCAACCCGAAGACCCGAATTTCGGGTTGGGGGGGGTACGGGTTCCATATGTGTTTTCTCGATGATCCCCGACCCCCCCCCACTGGAAATGGAGGTCAATTTGAGGCCTTCGGGTTGGGTTGGGGTGGTTTGGTGGGTGGTGAGGGTCCGGCAACCCACACCAATACCCACAGCCAGTCCTCCTCCCTCCGACCTCCCTGTGAGCGTGGGCGTGTGCTGTTCGTTCGTCGAGGGGCGCCGCCGAATGGGGGCCCGGCGCCGGCCAAAGGGAGTCCGCGCGGAGCTCCAGCGGCGTATGATTGCTCGTACCGCCGCCGCCTCTTCCTCGGCGTATGCGAGGGGCGTCGGGCTACAGTCAAAAACCCTAATCAGGACGCGCGGTAAGGACGCCAGACCCTTGGAAGCCGAGGTTGGGATTTTGGGGGCGGCGGACGACGCATTTCGAGTAAGAGCAAGGACGCAAGAGCAGGGAAGAGCAAGGACGCAAGGGTACCCCGAGCAGAGTCGCGCGTCCTTATTAGGGTTTTTGACTGTAGGGTTAGGCTGGGCACGTCCCCCTACAGGCGGCTTGTGGACGAGGAGGGAAACCTACTCCCAAACAGATTCAGACATGATCGACAGAGAGTCGAAGCATCGTCCCCACACTACTTGTTTTGACGATTTGCGTTGAATGTTCCTCCTGTAGAGGTACATGCCCGGCTTAAGATTAGGGCCGCCTGCCCACTTCACCACCGCCAGATACCAGAGGCTGTGCCCCAGGCCAGGACGAAGAGCACTCCGTTGGTCGTGGAAGCTCGGCGGCCGCACGGAGAGCAGTCGGAGCCAAAACGCTGGAACAAACACAGCGAACTGCTCCGCCTCCTCCTTCTCCTCCTCCTCCTCCTCCTCCTCCTCCTCCCGGGCAGAGTGCAGCGGCCGCTACTCTGGGTTCTTTAATAAGCGTGGGGGGGTGCCCCCCCCAATTGGGGGGTACCCCCCCCGACGGGGGTCAGCCTCGCCTCGTCGTCGCGCCGCGATGGGGAATCGGAGCGCCTTCGGCGCGCGGTGGCTGCCCGCGGCAGGGGCCGATGTGGGGCTGTCGGGGGGGTGACGCTCCCCCCGAAAATAGGGAAACGAAAAGTGACATAAACATAGAAACTCGGAGGTCCGCGCGGAATTCTCGGATCGGCGCTGGGGCCCCCCGGCGGCGCCTCCGGCGCCGCCCCTGGCGCGCTCCGCGCGCCAAGGAGGGGGTCCAGCGCCGACCCGAGAAATCTGCGCGGACCTCCGAGTTTTTATGTTTATGCCACTTTTGGTTCCCCTAGCAAAGATGAGGAGGCGCATGAGCAGCAGCCCGAGGCGAGTAGAGGAGGGCGGCGCCGGGGCGGGTGCAGCAGAGGGTGGCAGCCTGCTGCACCGCGGGCAGGGGGAAGAAGCGGATGGCGCACCTCGGGAAGGGCCAGCTAATGGAGGTGGCACGGTCGGGTCTGCCATACGAGATCCTCCTCCCCGACCCGCGATCTCTCCCCCTCTTGCTCGTCGCCCTCTCGCATCCCCATTCAGTTCGTCCTCGCCATCCCTCGTCGTCCCCACACCTCCTTCTCTTGTTTCCACGTCTCTCTACGTACTACGTACGTCTCTCCGTCTTGAAGGCCCCCGCGGAATCGTAACGGGACAAACTTCTGGACGGGAAGCGGACAACAAATTGTCAAGCTTTGCTTCCGCGTTCCGAGCCTTCCGCGCGATAACATTAAGCCGTGGACAGCAGAAGACGGGCAGGCAGCAGACTTCCCAAGGAAGTCGCGGTGCATCGGCACTTCAAACTTCATATGTCAACGCGGCCGAAAAGGAGAGAACTAACTTTCCTGTACGCGCGCGTCTCCAGGCACGGGGGATAACCTCGGCAAAACCCAATTCGATGTAGATGCCGGCGAATACCCAGAGAGAGAGAGAGCATCGTGCAGCCAACACGCGGAGACTGCTCGACGGTGAGCTTACATCTCGCCAACTCGCGCGAGTCCTCTGGAACCCAGTTGTGTTCTTCTTGCAAGTGCGAGGAATGTGATGCCATGAGTCACAGAGACGCGCGCGCTGTGCTGAAGTCATTGCAAGCGGTTTCTCCAAAGCCGTAAGCCAGCCTTGCAGCGGAGCAGAGGTGGTTGCAAATTGAGCGGTGAGTCCTTGCTTTTACACCAATACTTCGCGCCCGACAATGTGCTCCTGGACAGAAGATGTCTCGTTCATGTGCGGACATGACCCTCCGTGCCAAAGACTGTGCGCTGACCCACGGATCACAGGGAGACAAATTGACGCTGATCACATATTTGAGCAGGGACCGACGGTCCCGGCATTCCCAAAGGCCTACCACGAACTGTTTTTTCAACCCAAATCATGTTCAAATAACAACAACCAAGTTCTTACAACATAAGCCCGACGCATCAGAACAAGACCGCCTCAGGCACAAATTTCTCGAATAACATTTCCTGCGCGCCGCATAAGGTTCTTTGAGCCCTGTTTGGTGGGCCGATAGGGGAAATCAAAAGGTACCGATACCGCTAATCCCCGGACCTCGCACGGGGTGCGTTGTGACCAGGATTTCGAGGCGAATCCAGCGGTGGCGATGAGGGCCTCCCAGGACGCGGCCCCAAAAGGGCAAAATGGGCGGGCGGGTAGAGGTATGGGTACCTTTTCCTCCTCCGGCCTATAGGCAAATCAGGACGCTTCGCCACTGCTCGATGGATGGCGACGCGCGCAGTCAGTGATGCGCGCGTTTTCCACCGCCACCACCATGAGTTGGATGGGGGGGTCCTCCTCTGGCTCTTCCTCCTCCTCCTTCTCCTCCTTCTCCTCCCCGTCCTCCTCCTCCCCCTCCCCCTACCTCCTCCTCCTCCTCCTCCTCTCCTCCTCCTCCTCCTCCTCCTCCTCCGCCTCCTCCGCCTCCTCCGCCTCCTCCTCCTCCTCCGCCTCCTCCGCCTCCTCCTCCTCCTCCTCCTCCTCCTCCTCCTCCTCCTCCTCCTCCGCCTCCTCCGCCTCCTCCGCCTCCTCCGCCTCCTCCTCTTCCTCCTCCTCCGCCTCCGCTCCGCCTCCGCCTCCTCCTCCTCCTCCCTCCTCCTCCTCCTCCTCCCTCCTCCTCCTCCTCCTCCTCCTCCTCTCCTCCTCCTCCTCCTCCTCCTCCCCCCCCCCCCCTCTTCCTCCTCCTCCTCCTCCTCCTCCTCCTCCTCCTCCTCCTCCTCTCCTCCTCCTCCTCCTCCTCCTCCTCCCTCCTCCCCTCCTCCTCTCCTCCTCCTCCTCCTCCTCCTCCTCCTCCTCCTCCTCCTCCTCCTCCTCCTCCTCCTCCTCCTCCTCCCCTCCTCCTCCTCCTCCTCCTCCTCCTCCTCCTCCTCCTCCTCCTCCTCCTCCTCCTCCTCTAGTTCCTCTAGTTCCTACCAGAAGGCGGTCCGCTCCGCAAACCAGCCTCGGCCCCGAGCGGGGATCAAAACACTCCACGGCAGACCCAGGACCCGCCAGGCAAGGGAACCTGGCGCGGGAGGGCCCCTTGGAGTCCGAGCCAAAACTTAGCAAAACTAAATCCTCCTCGCCGCCGCCCTCGAGACGGGGAACGGGACCGCCCCCCAGCGGCTTCCTGTCTGGGGCTCCCGCCCCGCTCTGAGCCGCTCGAGGGCGCGGCGGGCCAGGCGAGCCGCGTCGCGGCCCTTGCTGGCCAGCGGGACGCAGGGGTCGGCCAGGAGCTTCGCTTGGCGACTCCCGTGGGCCCCGCACGTCCGACAAAACACGAGACAGCCACCCGTCCCAGAGGACCTCCGACCCGGCCCGTCCCCGCCCCGAATCACCCAGAGCCTGTGGGACGGGTGGGACCTGGCGACCAACCACGGGAGTCCTGGACAGGCGCTGGCGACGACCCTGGCCCTGGTAGCCCGACGGATCCCGCAGACCGAACAGCCCCAGGCCCGACCAAGCCTGGCCAGGGCGTGGCCCCTGTCGGGCCCCACCAGGGCCAGGGTCCCAGGATCCGAGCCCCTGGGCCTAGGGATGGCCCCCCGATCGGGCCATCCGAGGTCGGCGAGTCTTTTCAGGATCCCCCCGTGGTGGCCACACCAGGCCTCTGCTTGCACGGCGGCGGCGTCCAGGCGGCGGCTCAACTCACGCAGTCGCTCCTGCCTGGGGTGCAGCCTGGCTCCTTCCTTCGCCTTCACGTCGGCCTCCCTGTTGCCCGCGAAGGCCAGCCACGGCACCCCTGCAGCGCTGGCCCTGGCCCACGAAGTGTGCGACGGCAACCACGTCACAGTGAGGAACCCAGGGCCGAGGTCGTCGAGCAGCTGCCAGATCCGCCTCCACAGGTCCGCGTACTTGTGGCCTGGGCCGCAGCAGCGTCCTCGACCTGCCTCGAAGTCGTCCTTGATCCCCTTGCAGTCCGTATAGACCGTGATGGGCGATGGGCCGACCTCCTCCAGGACCCTGCGCAGCGCGTAGAGCTCCGCGTAGCCGATCTCCTGGATCCAGCCTGGCGTGAGCCCGAAAAGCCCGCCGACGGTGTTCCCGACGTCGTCCACCACCACTGCTGCCCATCCCGTGCGTGTCAGGCACGGGGCCTCTGGGTACATCGCGGAACCGTCGATGCAGATGACACCCTCGAGGAAGCCGCGACGCGCGCAACCTGCGCGGTGGCAGAGCTCGTCCATGCCAGGGGGGGGGGGGCTTGGTCCAGCCCGAGGTTGACGAGGCCCCTCACCAGGCCTAGGTCGTCCTGCGGCGCCCTCCTGCCTGCGTCGGCGATCTCCTGGAAGCCCAGGTCGCGCGCCCAGCAGGCGATGGCGGGGCACGCGAACAGCCTGTGGTGCGCCGTGCCTGGTGCTTCCCCGCACCACTGGCACAGCGGGCTGAGCTCCGCCCTCTCGTCGTACAGGTCGGACTGCGTGACGAGCCCACCTGCCATGTGCGCCTCCACCAGCGCGGCCTCCTGCGACCTGCCAGCGCGCCGCATGCCCGCCAGAGCCGTCCTAAACGGCTCCAGGTTGGGCGGGCGGCCCTGGAGATGCTCGAAACCCTCGTGGCTCGCGATCTTCAGCATGAGGTAGCGGTGGACCCCATTCTCGACGAGACTGGCCACCATCCGCGGGCTGAGCAGCTGCACGTCGAGGATCTGCCCACGGTCGTCCTTCCAACGGTGCCAGTCCAGCAGCTCCCAGCCGATGCGCTCCAGCGAGAGGCGGACCGCCCCTGCTGGCCCAGTGACCTCGCCCCAGTCGCCTGGTCTGCACTCCAGCACCTGCTTGAAGACCGCAGGGGGCCGCACTCGTAGGAAGACGGCGCGAGCCCAAGCCCTCAACGGGAGGACGTGCGCCGCGTATGCTGGGTCGTGCTTCCAGTCCTTGCCCTCCTGCAGGGCGAAGAGTACCGTCCTGGATCTCTGGCCGATCTCGCCCGAGATGGCCCTGCCGTTGACTGCTCGGGCGCGCTGCAGGGTCTTCGCGGGTACTCCGCTGACTCTCGCGCCGTGGAGGATGGACGCCAACCCTCCTGTCCTGAAAACCTTCGAGAGCCTCTTGGCCCCCGCCTTGCGCAAGGCTCTGTATCGCCCAGCCCTCTGGCTCAGGCGATCGATCCTCTGCCGTAGCACCCTCCACGAGGCCGACTTTGCCATGGTGAAGTCCACGCCCAAGTTCTTTGTGGCCTTCACGCGCGTGAACTTCCAGCGCCTGAGCCTGTGGGCGACTCGCTTGGCGATGTCGGAGTCGGTGCACAGAACTTGGCCCTTCGTCAAGGAAATGGTGAAGCCGATGGCCTCCAGGTCCAAGCAGAGGGCGCGGGTGGCCCCGACCAACAGGTGCTCCAGCTGCGCACGCTTGGCATAGACTGCTAACGTGATGTCGTCGACTACGAGGTATGGCCGCACCATCTGCCAGGACGCCAACATCGCGTCCAGCGGCTCGACCAACACCACTCGGAGCAGCGTCGTGGCAAAGGAGCAGCCCGCCAGCAGCGACAGGAAAACCTGGAAGGCCTCCGTCATCCAACGGTCCAAGCAGAGGCGCCTCCTGCCTCCGTAGAGGCGAAGGAGGATCTTGACCCTCCTCAGCGGGAAGCCCTCCCTCCCCGCGGCGTGGACCATCCCCCTGTGCGTGACCCTCTCGTAGGCCTTGCTGAGGTCCAGGAGCGTGGACGCGGCCTCCAGGTTCAGCGTCTTCGCGTGGTCCGCATCGAAGCTCTGCAGCCAGACCGCGTCCTCGCAGGACCTGCCAGCCCCGCCGAAGAAATAGGGCCTGTCCCTGGCGGCCTCCCAGCACTTCGCCTCGTCGTGCCTGATCTTGCCCAGCAGGCGGATCAGGGAGGCGATCAGCCCGATGGGCTGCCAGCCCCCATCGGGCTTGGCCAAAAAGAAAATGAAGACCTCGGCCACCTGCGACGGGAAATCCGTCCGCAGCTCGATGAGGTGGAACAGCAGGCTGAGCGCGAGGATGCCGTGGTCGGAGAGCCAGCCGAAGTGGTGCGGCTTGAGGCTGTCCACCCCCGTCGCCGTCTCGGCCTTGAACGCCCTCGCCGCCGCTC